CCCTTCCCTCTTCTTTAAGAATGGAGAGATTATATCATTGGACTAAAAACCTTTTGATATCTCCTATGAAAAGTTGTAATATAATAAAATATGAATACCATTTAATATGATAAAAAAAATATAATTAGGCTTCTTGAATGCACAATTAAAGAGCAGTGTTTATGAGAAGCCATATATCATTATGTTGAAAGACTTGAAGTTCCAATCTACTCAGTAGGGTGTAATAAAACCACTTCAATCCACCTATTTCTTGAACTGCCCTTTTTATCTCTTTCTACAGTCTAAGATTTGGTTCTTTTAAAAACCAAGCAATTCAATAAATCAATGGCTTAAATGTTAGGAATTTGACAAAGAAAGCTGACCAATAAATTTGATTAATTTTCCCTAATTTAGTCTTATTTTGTCTAATAACGTTGTTTGACGTCAATTAATCAACAAACAAAAGAATCTTTTAGTTGGACCATAGGAAAATAGTAAATGCAAGTGTGATTAAAGGCATTGGTGCAACTTGAGGCAAGATGTGTGAAAGGGAGAAATTGAAGTCCATAAATTGGGTCCCTACCCACATGTCCATAAAAATGGTGGGTCTTTTCGTCTTTATTTTGCTTCACATGAAACTTTAATGCAGGTAATAAATATTGTTGGCGAAACCTTATAATAACATCTGAGAAGATGTGAAGGGTTGGAAAAGTGTTATCAATTACTAATATTTATCACTAATTAATCAAATATTAGTTGGTAGTGACATACATCATTTTCAAATGTTGTATGACATGACAGTAATTAGTAACTTGAAAATGAGGGACAAGATTGATTTAAAATTTAAATCTTCGTCCGATTCGTTTTGATTGGGAAATGGATCTTGAGTGGTGAATTGGTCGGTTACCTTCCATGATTTCCATCTGTTTTGATTTTGATTTTGATTTAAATTTAACCATTATTCTTATTATTATTATTATTATTATTATAAAATGTAATGTAATGTAATGTGACCCGCAAGCATCAAGACGCCTACAGACATTATAACATTTTTATGTAATGTGAAAGGGTGATCTTGGTTAGGAGAATGTGAAATGACAATTTTGGTCTCCCATAATATCATAGCAGGAAATTAAATTTGGAAACTTGGGGGGTGGATGGTGTTCTCATAACTAAGTGCGCTTTTTATTTTATTATTATTTTAGATGTGTTTGGTATAAATAAAAATATACATTTTTTAGTTTTAGATATGTTTCCTGTCACCCGATCCATTAAAAGAAGAACAACTCATTTTTGACATTTGAGTCACTTTTTTTTTTTTCTTTCAATTTTTTTAAGGAACGTTAATCAAACGTTCGATGGAAAAAAAATAACGCACTAAAAAATGTCAACAAAAAAGTGTAATTTTTGACATTTGAATCACACTTTTTTTCACAAGTTATTAATATTTTGAAGTAACTAAGTTACTAACTTGACGATGAATTTGAAAAGTGTAGAATCACAATTTTTTATTTTATCTAAAAGAATTTGTTTCGGTTCTTGACAAAACACTTGATATAAAAATGAGATTATTGCGTGCGTGTATGCGTGTGTGGAGTTATTGATGTTTTGAAAAATGAATTTAAACAGAAGTGTACAAAAATGATACAGGTGTGATGGTAGTGAAAATAATAAAGATGGTTTAAATAAATAAAAATAATGGTTCATATATAACTCCATGTATAAATACTAATCCCTATAATAATCTCAATGAATTTTTACGGTTAGCCATACTGAAATTACTTTTCTAAGACAATTTATATCCTTAATACTCTATAACAGACAAGACGACTAAGGAAGGAAGAAGAGTCAGAAGACGAGAAGCTTCATCCGATGGTGGTTCCACGAAGCTTTGCATGGCAAGAAGAAAAGAAATGTCATACCTTTGACTCAAATTAGACTTTCCATCTTTGAAACGTAAAAGGAAAGACAGCTGCCCTCAAAAATAAAAAAATAAGTCCATCGTGCGTGCCTCGGACTGACACATTAGACTCACGACCTTTCCAATAAAATAAAGTTCAAATTACAACCGCATGTTACATATGCACTCTCCTGTCCACAGTAACCAATGTTGACTCTTATATTTTCTTTATCTTTTTCTTGTCACAATTGCTGGAATTATATATATATATATATATATATATATTTTCAGTATCTTTTTAACTTTGCTAACAATAATGGTTTGGATCTCTTAAACTTCATTCACCACCGCGTGACACATGCAATATTTTCATCCCGTATATAAGAGATTTTTATAAATTATTAATATCTAAGATATAAGACGAGAGTGATTGTCATTAAACTATTAAATCACTTAATATTAAAACTCCATGATTAAATGTTAGTTTGATTAACTCAAACAAACATAATAAATAATTTACGGTTACATAGAAATTTACAAGGAATTAAAGAGATTTGATAAACTTAGTGTTAGAAAGAAAAAAAAGGAAAAGAAAAAAAGGGGGGTTTAATTTTATAATAAAATGATACTAAAGCAAAACACTCCAACGAAGCCTTATGTTGGACACTTTGCATTCATAAGATGCAAAGTGGCAGATCAAAAGTCTCAATTATATGAATGCAAAATCACAATGGGAGGGGTGGGATCCAATATGGTCTCACCACAAGCATCATATGGATGCAAAATCTAAACTAGTCGAAACCTTCATCTCCAATAATATAATTCTTAATTTAAATTAAATTTAAATTTAAATTAAATTTGTATGTTGAGAGGGCTGGATATTCAACATCATGTTCTTGTCATTATAAATGAATGTCTAAATAAATTGAATTTGATTAAAAAGGAATGGTTATAAAATTAGTTTGTGGTGTTGTGTCTTTGTTAGATGATGACCTGATTAATAGGTTAACAATTTAATGTGTGGGTTCTCTAACTTGATTGGACATTTACCAAATTTGAAGGGCCATTAATTATTTCTTATTGCACGGATGAAGCCACACATTAAATTGTTCATGTTCGGACAATCCAAGCTTGATTTACTTTATTTGTATCAATGGTATAAAGCTTGAATTGACATATATATATATATATATATATATATATATATATATATATTTGCTTTTCACTAATTTATCTTTCAATGTCCCATTGGCATTGAGTATAGATAGGTCTTTTTCTATAGAAGAAAGCATATCAAATACTTCTTACACATAAAGTTGATCAATCCAAAATTATTTAGGTGCCATTCCACCGACTTTTTATCCTTCATAAACATCAACTTGTTATATGGCTTCCTTACCCACTCCCAAAACATAAAAAATAATGATAATTAATTAATTAATTTTTTTAATAAAAAAAAAATTAGTCATGGCTTGCAATAAAGTCATTGCAATAGATGCACTGAAAAGGACAAATGCACCTTAAATCTTTCTTTTACAAATGTACCCATAGGAATAAAAATTGTTCTTTTTAACAGCAACATTGCATTGGAGTAACATGGCATCAAAATTTTCTGTACTGATGGATAATGTGGTTAAATATGGTCCCCACTCTACCCTTATGCCACCCCCCACATGAAACGGTGGGTATGGTCTCAATATTCAAATTCTGGGTCAAACCCGATATCTATTTTTTTGATGGCTTGATTGAAAACAATACTAATATTTATGAACTAATTGATTAAATTGCCTTGCTATTTGTATAAAGTAGGTAATACCAAGAGTGGTAGGTTAGAAAGAAAGATAAAACTGAAAATTGAAAATTGAAAAATGAAAAAAGAAAAATGAAATTGTTTTTCTTTCTAAAATATTAATATTTGGACATGAACATATGCCGCCCACAATTCTAAACATGATCAATAATAATAATAATAAATACACATCTTGGATCAAAAATTTAATATTATCTACCGTTATAATTAAAGTATAAAAATTCAAAAAGAATAAATGAGAAAAAAATTTCATCTGATAAATGATTTAAATTCCTTTAGAGATAAAGTAGATAAAATTTCGATTGAGAAGTCAATGATTGTAGTCCTTTTAAAAATTCCTTTAAAAGAACAAAATAGGTGTGTAAGAGCATTTCTAGCAGTATGTTAAAATATCATTTTGTGTAAAATATACACTTCCACATATAATGTGTAATTTTTTTTTTATCTCCAACAGTCTCTTAAAATACACAAATGTGTAAAATTGTTGTATATTTCCTTTCTCCTCCCTCTTTCTCATTAAGAATTAATCATATATTAAGTAGGTTTATAAAAGTTTTATGAGTTCTGACATAACACGTGATTGGTTGGCAATTTTTATTAATGACGTCATTGTAATTAATTTGAAATTTGGTTCGCAAGTGTAACGGGTGGGCGTTTGCACATTTACCCAAAAGCTCGAACTGTTAGGTAAGGCTGTATACCCATCCATTTATACCCAATCTCTTTCCCATCCGATTCCGATGTGAGACAAAATGACCCTTGTTACATTCTCCCCCACCCAAACTCGCAACGCCCTCGTTGCGGTTGGGCCACCCTGCCTACTCGGGTGGACTCACCCGGACGCCTTCCGGGCCGAGCGCTTAGCGTGGCACCGGATCAAGGACTGGGTTTGGCTCTGATACCAACTGTAACGGGTGGGCGCTTGCACATTTACCCAAAAGCTCGAATTATTAGGTAAGGCTGCATACCCACTCATTTATACCCAATTTCTTTCCCATCCGATTCCGATGTGAGACAAAATGACCCTTGTTACAGCAAGGTTTTACATTGCACCATCTACAGGGTACCACCAAGGGTGCATACTTCATAATGTCTAGAATAAAACGTTTTCATTAATGACGTCATTGTAATTAATTTGAAATTTGGTTCGCAAGGTTTTACATTGCACCATCTAGAGGGTACCACCAAGGCTGCATACTTCATAATGTCTAGAATAAAACGCACATGGCGCACGTTAGCCAACTCGGTTTTTCTCAGTGATTCGTACGGCGTATTTCTGTTTACGGAACGCTATAAATACCCAATGCATTTGTGAGGGATAACCTCAAGAAAATTCCTACAAACATACAAGGAACTCGGAAGATCACATTTGTCCTAACACTTTGATTTCCAAAAACCCTAGATTTACCCACAGAAACTCTACAAATCAATCACAATAACCCTCCCAATTCTTAGAGCTCCAAATATCGCTTTGCTTTGATCTGTGAGTGTCTCTGTGTCCTGCTTTAAGACTGATTTGAGTTGATTTGGATGCAAAAGTTAAAATCATTTGGTGGGTTGTGATTGTTGGATTGAATAAAGGTGTTTGTCCTGCCGTGCTTGTTTTTTTCGGATAAGTATATATTGATTTGTTTTTATATACTCATATTTGTTGTTATTGCTGGACAAAACATAAATCTTATTGGGTTTTAGTTTAAGACTTAAAAGTAGTGTTATTTGGTGGTGGTTAGTAGAATTTGATTAGTTTAGTGGAAATTTGAGTAGTGCCACTAACTTGAGGTTAATTTGGTGAACTGGGTTTTGAACTATGGAGGTGAATTTTAGCAAGAATTGAACAATTGTAGCTGGGGGGTTGATGAGAGGGGAAGTTGGGTTTTGGAGGGAAGAGTATGACTAGTACAGTGTCATTGGGTCAACGTTCAGGAAGTAATGGAGCATTGCAACAACAGTTTCAGGCTGATGTGTTGCCAATCCAATCGGCGCCGCCTGTTACCGTCCGTAAGCCCCCAAAAATGTTCAAAGAAAAAGAGAGCCTGTTTCATTTGATCTGCAAATTGGCCCCTCGCAACAAGGTTGGAATGCTGCTCTTGTGTGTTGTTTCTGCCTCTGTTTTTGCATGGGTGTTGTATGTAGACAAAGGTTTGATTTCCTATCTCTGCATCTCTTATTCGGAAGTAATTAATACACATAGCTAAATATAGCCACACATAATTATATGTTGAAATTATATAAGATTATGTACTCTCTATATATGCAATCCTTTTCCATAAGCTGTGTGTGTATATATGTGTATGTATATAATTTGATCAAATTTAGTGAAGAAGCGTGGGAAAAGATTAGGTGTATATTTTGACTTAACACCCATATGGTGCTTGGGTGATGATCATGATTAAATTTTGTATAGTCCTGGCATTCATTTATGTTAACCTGCTAAGTGAAGAATACATATTTAATGGTCCACTTAAGAGTTTATGCTTCATGCGTGGCAGAACATGCTTAACCGTTAGTGGCCCACCAATTGGTGACTTATTAGCTTGAATTCATGGTGATCAACCTAATTGATTGATTTTGGTTTTATCAATTTTGTAAACTACTATCCATTTCTGTTCTAGCATTCATTCATATCCACATTATGTTCATTTTTAAGAAGATTTCCACATTATGGTTTGGTGAATAGTTACAATATGATCAACTTCAATTCCTTTATCTGACTGCTGCCTCTATATAAGTTTTACATGGCATATATCATTTTTGAATTGAGTAGTTTCTTACATTGAGTGAGGAAATAAGTTGTGCAATTGAACTTTTTAGCAGGTGAAGAAACACGGGAAGGCGACAATATACTGGACATCAGTCTTATCGACAGCTTAGGTCTTAGCTATCCTGAATTTTTGCCACTATATGGAGAACAAGACAACGTGAATTTTTCTACGGTACATAGTGTGGGAAGTGAAAGTATAGATTGGCCTCCTACCCCTCCTGTATTTTTTACAGGATATACCCTTCCTCCAGGGAATCCATGCGAAAGTTTCACACTGCCACCCCCGCCAGCAGATAAAAAAAGGACTGGACCTCGTCGTAAGTTTGATTTCTTATATTATTTAGGTTTTACTATCAATTTTTGTTGCAAAAAATTATATTGTAGAGCTGTTGATGCCATACATCCCCATGCATATGCGAAATGCATAATAGCACCAATACATACACTCTAGGAATTAAAATTTACCCATTTTGAAAATAACAGATTCAATTTCACAAGTGCTTATTTTGCTGATTCTCTTGCTTTTCTTCATTTCAGCATGTCCAGTATGTTACCTTCCTGTGGAAGAAGCCATTGCCTTAATGCCAAATGCGCCATCATTTTCTCCTGTGATTAAAAGTTTAACTTACATTCATGAAGAAAATCTAACTAGAAGTGAATTTGGAGGTTCAGACTTTGGTGGGTATCCTTCTCTGAAGCAGAGGAATGATTCTTATGATATAAGGGAAACAATGAGTGTGCACTGTGGGTATGATAAGTTTTTCCCTGGGCAGTGTTATTTGAAATACTATTGCTGGTTGCTTTCAATGAAAAAGTTTCATTGATTATATATTCTCTCAAATATTTGCTGGTAATAACACATAATATTGTGTTGTATCTTATCATGCTCTCATTTGTGTCTCTTGTGCTTTCTGGTCAATGCACATCTACATCGACAGATTTGTTAGAGGAATTAAGCCTGGACGTCAGACAGGATTTGATATTGATGATCCTGACCTTCTTGACATGGAGCAGTGCCACGGGGTGGTTGTTGCATCGGCAATATTTGGTACTTCTCTTGATAATCCCATTTTAGAAGTTCATTCCCGTGCTTAAGCTTGTGGACTTTATTCTAATGAGTGCATTCTCTACCAGGAGCCTATGATTTAATACAACAGCCAAAGAATATTAGTGAAACTGCCAAGAAAAATGTCTGCTTCTTTATGTTTGTGGATGAAGAAACAGAAGAATTCCTGAGAAATTCTAGTGAACTGGATAGTAGCAAGAGGATTGGGTTATGGAGAATTGCTGTTGTTTATAACCTTCCTTACACTGATCCAAGACGGAATGGGAAGGTAACTTTACTAAATTTGGCCAGTTCATTTAAAAAAAAAAAAATCTAGATCAAACTTTTGGCCTATGGATGGCAGTTTGCTAGTATGATCACTTTAGATCAGTATGTAGAAACTTTTTTTAATTGGTCAGTATTATTTAATATGACAAATGGCTGGGATGATGCATACTTTTCAATAATATTGGTTCATTTGACGCTTTGAATTACTAGAAAGTTGTTGTGTTAGCTAACAGCTTTTTTTGTCAGCTGATTTCTAGGAGCTTCTAATGAAATAAGGATGTCTAAAAATTAATTGAACATACTATATTCATGGATGCATGTCATGTACAGACAGAGATCTTTTCATGTTTTGCGTAGTCATAGTCTGAGAATAATGTAATTTAATTTTTATTTTTGGTTAGTTGAATCACATACACATCCACCCACACCTATTTGTCCCACTGGGGACTCAAACCCTCAACCTTCCATTTGGAAGAAGAGGAAATACCACTTCGTTTAAGCCCTTGGTAGTCTGATAATTATATAGTTGCTAGGAGTAAACTCATTATTTGGATCTTTTTAAACTTTCACCAATTAATTAAACTATAGGAGTGGCTGAAGCTGAACCAGAATTTTTATCTAAAACCTTAAATTGATAAAATTGATGCTTTGGTTTTTATGTCCTTTATTTTGTGCAAATTGATGCTTCTGAAGTGATGGGGGAATTTTATGAAGGGAGAAGTTCAAAATCATGGTAGTGCCTTGTCATGTGAGGCCACTGAAATGTCCTGTTTGCACTGATATGAGGAAAAATTCAAAATCATAATCTCATAAAGTAATTAATTGCTCGGTAACCTGCAAGAATAAATTTTAAACCTGAAATTTGTACTTCGCATACATGGTCAAATATCATCGACATTTGCTTTTGATTCTATAACTTTCTTCATATCTGCTTTTGGTGATCCAGTGGATCCCATCTGAATGTTTTTGTTACGAATAAGTCATGATGGTAAGGGGGTTGATAACCTTTTTCATCATGTTATTGACAAGGAACATAACGATTCAGTTGTACTCAGTAGCATATCTCTCCACGTTATCAAGACATTTTAGGCCACTACTCTGTATGGTCCCTATTAATTGAGAGTGCTAAGAGGGGTAAACTAGGTAGTAGGTACTAACCTAACCATTTGCAATATTTGCACAAAGTTCCAATTCCAGACTCTACCCACATTCTCACATTTGGCAATTTAAGCTTTTAGTATTGCACCAAGCAATGACCCCTATGTTTGCTCCTGCTCTTTGTACTATATATCTGTAATTCTGTATACCTCTTTCCTTTTAAGAAATAAGTTCCTTTTTTTACAAACCACATCTTTTTATTATGGTCATAGCAATTTAACCTTTGTTATACGGGTGTAAAGCAACTCATATGTTGGTGCTGGTTTGCAATCTGAAGTCCGTTGGGCCTTGGACCCCCAAACTGCGTTGATTTTATAACAGCATTTGAAAAATCCTTTGACACAGGTTTTACCTTTGGCAGGTTCCAAAACTTCTACTGCATAGGCTTTTCCCCAATGCACGCTACTCTCTATGGATTGATGGAAAACTTCAACTTGTTGTGGATCCTTATCAAATCCTGGAAAGGTACATTTAATATTTTGTTTTTGTTATTTATTTTATGCATAAAACAGTATAGCAGTTTGAGGAAAGTTATGATAGTTGGTCTTTTGAGTTGGACCCATGAAAATTCCCCTATTGTTTTCTTGTAGCATGAATTTATTATTTGGATGTAGTTGCCCTTCCTTTGAAGTATGTTATGAGTGGGTCATATCATAAGTTATCAAGTGGTTTAGTTCCCTAGCTGAACCCACAGCAGCAGATAATTCACTGGGTGTGATGTATGGTAACAACTTAAGAGGAGACATCTTTTTCAGACATGGCGCTCCTCCAATACCATCCCCAGCATTTTAATTTCATCAGAGATCTTGATATTGCACTGATAGCTGACACTGGTTAAGCATTCAATGGACCCTTCAATGCAGTAAACATAAAGTTTGTAAGAATAACTAGTATATAATATGGGAGTGATAGTTGTGGTTGTAGCAATTTTTTGTAGAGCCATTTTTTTTTTTTTTTTGGTGCTAGTTATACATTGAATTTGAGCTAGTGACACATTGAAATTCCAATCAATGTGCTAACTTTAGTAGTATATATTAGTAGTATGCTCTATCCACCATGATTTTTCCATTTTTCCATTTTTCTTGTAAAATGTGGCATTATATGAAGAAATTTATGTTCTAGTTAATTAAAGGTTCATTAGTTTGTACTCATGGGTTCAATGGACAATCTGTTCTGACGATATCTCTTAACTAAACAATGTGCTACCTTTAGTAGTGGAGTATATATTAGTAGTATGCTCTATCCACCATGATTTTTCCATTTTTCTTGTTTGTTCCCACGAGCTTTTCTTCTGATTGTTTTCTTTCTTATCTTAAGTGGAAGAAAATCCCTTCGTTTTCAGTCTAGAATTACTCCTTGAGTACAGATTGTGTTACGAATTGTTGCTGCTTCCTACTTCCATCACTTATCATCCCATTCACCCTCGATTGAGGCATTTCTGATAACCTTATTAGCCTTATCGTTTTGCCCGCAGAAAAGACATTTCTTATACTTTTTACTGTATTTATACATTTGATGAAGCTACCTACTTACATTAAGTGTTTTTTTACAGTTCAACATCGAATGGTAGATAGGGATTTTCATGCAGAATCAGATCAACTGTTTTTATTTTCTACTCAGTTTTCTTCTCATCTTCCAGGTTCTTGTGGAGGAAAAATGCCAGTTTTGCAATATCTAGGCATTATAAACGCTTTGATGTATTTGTAGAAGCGGAGGCTAATAAGAATGCTGGGAAATACGATAATGCTTCCATCGACTTCCAGGCTGATTTTTATAGCAGGGAGGGTTTGACCCCATATTCTGAAGCTAAGCTTCCCATTACAAGTGGTAAGAGCATGATCCTTGTTCCAGTTTTATTGTGTTGGTTGCATATTTTCATGATTGACACACTTCTTGTTATATGACTGGGTTTGCAGATGTTCCTGAAGGATGTGTATTAGTAAGGGAGCATATTCCCATCTCTAACCTCTTAACTTGTCTGTGGTTCCATGAAGTTGACCGATTTACTTCGAGAGACCAGATCAGTTTTGCCATTGTAAGAGACAAGATTAGGTTAAAGACAAATTGGACTATCAATATGTTCTTGGATTGTGAAAGGCGCAACTTCGTAGTGCAGGTTTCTAATTAAATTTCGTCTTTTTTTCAACTGTTATATGCTCTAAATTGCTGCCTCAACACACATGTTCTTTGTCTTTCCATTCTATCTGCTTCCATAATTAATATTTGTCATTTGTGACTGCATGCAGGGGTATCACAGAGATGTGCTAGAGCATTGGGCTCCTCCTCCCCCTCTTCTAGCTATTGGTCCTGGTCATCGTCCACCACTTATTATTGATAAAAGACCGAATGAAACATCAACTGAGATTTTAACAGAAAATGTTGTAAGTACTCCCAATATAGATATCCGAGTTAAGCATGATGAAGAGCAGAAATCCAGTTCGAAAAGTCACCGCAAAGTTGCGGCCGGCAATAGGGATACAAGTTGAAGTTAAGATTTTGACTACTACTGTTTTTTCGCTTCCTCAATTCAAATTCATTCATTGTGGAGCTTGGAATATACGCATTTGAATGCGCAGTTTTTCCACATACAACCAATTGCATATATATATATATATATATATGTATGTATATTTAATCAATCTTGTATAGTGAAATTTCCAATAAGTGTTATACGGGTTGCGCCATTTCCTCTTGTGGTAACCCATTTTGTTGTCCTACCAATATACAACATTATTGTATTGTAATACGTTATTCAATTTTTATGTTCAAATTATATTGAATTAGTCATCAATAAAAAGTTCATTTTGTGAAAGTTATTTTCTTCGGTCTTCATTTTCGATGAATAAAATTTACGTGTTTGTGCTCTGCTTGTTCTACCTTTAGATCAAACCAGAAAATAATTTTGGCATGGTTACAGGGGAATTTGCTTTCCTACTCATCTCCATTTAAAAAGCATATATGATTTCACTTCAAGTTCATTTTTTATGTAAAATCAATACAACAACTATTGTCAGCAGAAAAGTAACCTTAATTCCCTTTTAACGCCACTTAATCCAAATGACGTCGTGAGGGTTCATGTAGTGGTTAATCAGCAATGTAATTCTGAAAATAAATCATATTTAGCACGTAAAATATTTTACTCAGAAAATATATATATATATTTTTAGGTAAAATATTTATATTTTTATTTGTTTGTCAAAGGTTTAGTTGGAAGTTTAGGCAAAGTCTATCTGGTAGAACATATAAAATAACTTATTGAAGATTGATGAGTAAATTTTTTATATTAGGTTTTAATATATTTTTTATTTATAAATATTTTATGACAAGTAAACACCAAAAAAATAAATAAATAATATTTTACATCCAAAATATTTGATAATGTTAAATACAAGTCTGGAACTCTGGGTAGCGGAAAATGAATGCAAATACGCATTTGTCCGCGGCACAAGATGAATTCGCATTTCCAAAAGGCAGCCTAGATTATCCGATTTTTGTATTATGGATCATTGCAGTGGGTGAAGAAGCTCCTGTGAACTAGTTATGCTCTAATTAAACCAATTGATGAACATGCCACTTTCATTCCAGTGGACTTGTTATAACTTACAAGTCGGACTTGTCCTATTAAATTCAAATAGAGAACATATTGACTATATATAAGTTTGGGTGTTAGCATCATTTAGAGATCGTTTGGGATTGCTGTTAGAACTTTGAAAGTGTTTTTATTAATAGAGCTATTATAAATTTGTTGTCGGTAAAACGCAATTTTGTGTTTGGTAACACATTGTATAAAATGTATTTTATACTTCAAACACTTTTAAGTTTGTTTTATTACTAATTTTACTATATTACCCTTATACTTAAATTTTGTTAATTCTTTGATATTAAATATTATAAAATTTTATTGAGTTCAATAATTTATAAATATGAACTTGTATTTTTTTTTTTTTATGTTAAATATCACATATTTTGTTTATGATATAGAATTTATATTTAGGACTAAAATATAAATGGACGGTGGTTGGAGAGTCCTAGAATAAATAAGATATTGTTTGGTATTTATTTCTAGATTGTATTTATAAAAAATATAAATAGATTACTTTATCTAAAAAAAAATTGGTTACCTAAAAAGATAAACCTGTATGCTATATCTCTTAAGCAGTTTTAAAAATTACAATTCATAACTTCACTCAAACCCTTTTCTGCCCAACATCTAGTACCTATCTACCCAACATCTAATACCTATGTGGCCTCTTTTTTTTTTTTTTTTTTTTTTTTTTTTCCTTCACCAAACACATTGTACTGCAATTTTTTTTACTTTTGAATTGTAAAGAAGTAATCCAAACACCCGCTTAATAACTTGAATTTTTTAGGTATCATGAAGCACATGATTGGTTACAATTGGTACGAGAGATTCAAAGCTCCATTCCCGTGTATTAATAGATCCCATCGTGTTTATATATATATATATATATATATATAAACTAGCTAGCAATATTTGCATAAAGGTCCACTTTCGGAATCTAATTTACATTCTTACATTTGGCAATCCAAACTTTAATATTTATTATTAATGTATAAATAAAAAATATATATTATATATATGGATTTAATTTATTTAATGCTTTAATATTTAATTAAATAAAAAATTATTATAATGCCTTTTAAATAAGAATAATAACTTAGAATTTATAAATATGTCAGCAGTATTAGTGTTAAATGATCTTTAAAAAATCACTAAAAATATATTTTTATAAAATTATATTATAACAAGTTGCACACTTATCAAAAAAAAATTATAAAAAGTTGCATATTAATGCATTTTGAATCCTATATGCAAAATTGTAAAAAAAAAATTACAAATTTTTTTTTTGTTCATCTGCAGCCGCAACTATGAACCATGTGTGTGATACACATTTCATGTATTGAATAACATGAAGTCATAATTATGGTAATTAAGACCAAAATGTCAGATGAAGATATCTAATTCAACACATCAAAAATCATTTTAGTTTAATTTTTTCTGTTCTTTCTGGCAAACAAAAAGAATTATATTTCTTATTCAATGTCGCAGACAATAGTGGATGTTGAAAGAGCTTAGAAAGCTCTAGTAATATATAGGGTCGAGAACATTTTAGAGAATTAGAGATTGATGTAAGAGATATTTCTAAATAGCGTTGATCTTAACCATTCAATCTAATGCAATCTAGTTGTCTATCAAGAAGAGGATGCATATAAATACATATCAGCCTCATTTGTAACCAAGTGTATATCTTAGAAATGAAGTGCCAATGTGTAGACAATGGTGTAATATTGAAGATTTTTAGACAAATAGGAATTTTAGAAATGAAGTGTGGTTGGCAGCTTTCTACACCATTGGACACAGTGCTTGATTTTTTTTATGGACTGTGATTGAATGTGTGTGGGGTACCTTTCTAAACCATTGGATGTTGGACCCAACTTTCTACACCATTTTGCCAAAGGCTCGAGGACATTTTGGATCCTTCAACCCCATCCGTGGCTTTTTTTTTTATTATTATTATTTTTATTATTTTTTAAGAAAAAGATATGATAATAATTTAATTATTTTTATTTTTATTTTTATTTTATTTATTTTCTATCATCACTAATATTATCTTTTCATTTCTTTAGCCTCTCGTATATCCAAATGTTACTAATATTAGCTTTTCATTTCTTTTGCCTCTCGTATATCCAAATGTTACCTAAGTCCATAAATTAAAAATGAAATGTGAGGACAACTTTCTATGCAACCATTTGAGACTTAAAAACATTAATGTTTCTCAATTTCTTGCTTTCTAGAAGAACGAAAACCACCAAATAAGCTACGGCAAATGAATGAGAAACCCATATTAGGCCTAGTTGTAAAGCAGAAGTTGATATACTATCACCTCCAAAATTACTCCAAATAATATCAAAATAACCTATTCAAATGAAAACTCTCAATTTCTTTTATAATATGAAATAATAATTTTTTATTTACTGAAATACTATATTCTTGATGGGCGGGTAACCAATACTTTCTCGTCAAATTGAAAGCAATGAAGGAATAATTAATTTGCCACTTTAACTTGTTAGCTATACGAGATGTGCAGCCAAAAAGGATGTGGAATTCAATTTTGGATTAAAAATAATCACACACCAAAATAATATTAAAGGAAAGTAGAGTTTAGAGTGGCACCAAATTTTAGGGAGAAAAACTAATTGGAAATACCATTTAGTCCAACAGTTCACGACTTCATATTTACTCCTTGAACCTTATAGAAAGATTGCTGATAAAGCAATAACATTACGTAAATATTTAACCTCTTCAGAATGTACCTTCAAATCATTTTTTGATGTAAAAGGAAGAAAATCTGCTTTCTCTAATCGATGTTAATGATTTTTTCGAAAACTCGTGTTCCGATTAGAATAAGAACACCACCCTAAGTTACTCGCTCTCAATGAAAAATAGAAAAATTCTCACAAAGATGGCTATTGATTTCGGAATTCACTATAGCAAGTTGCATTGAAACTCGCCACGTGTCACTTTCTGATTGAGGGCATCAATTAGAAATTGGAATGTAAACAGGATGGTTCGGGATCGAGCCTATCCACCCACACACTTAAACTATTAAGTTGTTACCCAATATTAGTTTACATCTAGGAGTGACAAATGGGTGAGTTGGGTCGGGTGTGTGTTAGGTTGAAAATGAGCGAGTCAACATGGGAACGGGTTAAATATGGGTTGGTTAAAAATGGGCAAGGTCAACCCGTTATGACCCGTGGACCTATTAATTATTATTTTTAATTATTTTTTTTATTTTAAAATTTTAATCTCAAAAAAAATCTTAAATAGTAGTGTGTGAGTATATATATATATGTATGTATATCATCGTTGAGATTTGTATCTGTGTGCAATAAGCCTGTACTCTGGAATATAAGAATGAAAGAAGCATGGTAATGTGCACAGAGAATGAAAGGTCATCATGTCTGCCCCTTCTGATGCTTCTCACCTTTTGATTTGGGGGCCTAGATCAGACCTACATTTTTTTAAAAAAATAATTTTTATGTTGGTACTAAATATATGTTTGTTTGCATGTATCTGATTATTTATGTTTTGTGATTAAATATAAATTTTTTGTCAAAATATTATATACATATTTTTATTATGTGTTCACGATCTATGAATTTAAGTTCTAGGTCTTCTAGTAGATATTATTTTTTATCGTAGTTAATATGATATATTTTTCTTGTGATTTTTTTATTAATTTTTATTTAAAATCGAACTTTAGTTGTCGGTTTAGATTTTGTTTCCAATTTTTTTCTGGATCTGGGTTTTAATGAAAAAATTAAGTGAAATAAGTAAAACACTGACGCAAATGGATAGCCATTGAATTTTGATTTTTTTTTTTTTTTTAAAATTTCTCTATTCAGAGATACTGGTATCCCTTTTTTATTTATTAAAATTTTTTTAATTATTTTTTAAAATTTTAATTATTTTATTTATTCTTAAATTTTTTTCAATTTTTTTTATTTTAATTTTTTTATTTTAATTTTTTATTTTTTATTTTTTCTAGAAGAAATTTCTAAAGAGAGAAACTAGAGGGAGGGATTGATAAGAGACAAATTGAGAGAAAGATGGAGGATTGTGAGTGAGAGAATTTTAGAGAGAGAAATGAGTTGAATGCAATATAGAATAAATGTGTGTTGTGTGTTTATTATGTGATGGGTGAAATAACCACATTCAACCCATCTTGACCCTCAAATTAAGTGGTTAAAAATTACCCAACCTATTTTGACCCTCAAATTAAATAT